CCTCTGCCTCAAGTGCTGGGATTAAAGGCACGTGCCTCCATGCCTGGCCTCCACCTTCATTTTTGAAACAGGGTCCTCTGAACCTAGAGATCAGTTTGTTGGGCAGAATAGTTGGCTGGTGACCTCCAGGGATCTTCCTGTCTCCATTTCCACAACGTTAGAATACAGCACGGCATTCCATAGCATCACCTCTGGCTTCTTACATGCGTGCTGGGGATCAGAACTTAGGGCACTCTACTGGTTGGCAAGTGCTTGACTAAGTTATTTCCTAAGCCCCACTTCATCCTTTTCTAAAGTTCTATTAATATATGTTTATTTGCATGCAGAAACAGGAGAGCCAAGCCTTCATTTTAATTTTTCCATAAAATGTACTCATTATAAGGACAGTTTAGTCCAACTAGCTATTTCATGGCCAGCATCCCTCCAGCAACAGCCTAAGGTCTTAAGCCAGCCTTCGTGCTGCCTCCAGATTCTAAGTTTCCCTCTCACACTCTCTCAACTGTGTCTGGTGTTTAGGAACAAACAGACCCATGACCTTGACACCAACCTCTGAGTTTTTAGGTCTACAACAGGACGCTGCCGTTCTTTGCTTCATAGCAAAGCTAAAGGGTCTCTGTGAGAGCCAGAGCAGCTCCTGTTGTAAGGTCTCCATCCTTACGTGATGCCTCCTTTCTGAAGCCATACTGATCATCCTATCCTAAGTGTCACCTATGTATGCCACACCATCCCATTTGAATCCTCCATGACAGTTGTCACAGTTTGTAATGACCAATTTGCATGGGTAGAGCAAGCCCCTCATCAACCACTAACTCCATGGGGGTAGGATCACCCTCCATGCCTGACACAGCATCCATGCAACTCAGCACATATTGTAACTCCAAACACTGCATCCTGACAAGGGACTGAGTGTCCTACCTGTCTGGCCATCAGGGTAATGTCACCACCACTGCCTGGAAGAACATAGTCCCAGTGACCAGATTCTTATGTGAGGCACTTCAGAAACAGTCGAATGGCCTAGTACCTATCTGCTAAAGATCTCTCTAAGTTGTCTTTGTAGATAGGTTCTGTTGGGAAAGTGACATTAGCAAGCTAAAAGGATAGTCAAACTTTCTTAAGCATGACACAGATTCTGTGGGTCCAGTCTCCACACTGCTCATCTGTGTGACACCTGATGTACACTGTCAACTGGATTGGATTCAGGATCACCATGGAGACACATTTTGGACGGGTCTATTAGAGTGTTTCCAGAAGAGTTTAAACTGAAGAGCGAAGTTGTACTGCAAATGTGGGTAGTCTAACCCCATAGGTTGGGTCCCAGTCTGAAGAAAACGGACAAGGAGAGCTGAGTATCAGCATTCATCTCGCTTTCCGACTGATGATGCAATGTGACCAGTCAGCTCCTGCTGCTGGACCTTCCCCACCATGAAGGAATCTTAAACCATGAACCAAGAATAAACCCTTTGTTCCTTAAGATGCTATGGTCAACTATTTTTGTCATAGCAACAAGAAAAATAGTTAATATACGCAGGCACTATAATACATTTACATGTCTCTGTGATTACTGGATACAAGTAATCACCAGCAGTAATGAGGAATAGGCATCATTTGGATATCTTCCAATCCCACCCCCCTTTCTTTCCATCGCTGGAGGGAGAACCGAGGGATTTCTGTTAGGCTAGGCTTTACCCCAGTCATACCCAGAGTCCTGCACTTCACTCCTGCTTTTATGTGTTCTGAACTAGTGAGCTCCAGTAAACCGTGAGTCCTAGAAGAATACATGGTAGCTGACTGATGACAGGGAGGAGTAAGGCCACCATACCTTCTTAGAGACGTCTGTCAGTACTCTAACTGACCAAGGGAGTGTAAGGGCTGCAGTATAGCTCAGTGGTAGAATGCTTGCCTGCCTCATCTGAGGGAGGCTCTGAGTGAGTTCCATCCACAGTGCCATAAAAACAAGCAAGTGGAAATAGCAGATCCACTAAAAGTCATTGGAGATTTATGAATCTCAAATAAGAAAGAGATGACTACTGTTTATGCAAAGATGTAGTTTTTATCCTCCTGCAAAACTCTTATCTGTAAAACTGTATCAAGTTAGTGACCAAAATCAATATTGAAAGCAAAATATTACCAAATTAGATGTATCTTGTTATTTTTATTGCCCGCCCTTAAGTATTTCTGGTATTACCAAAGGAAAATATTTTCAAAAATAGCCCAACTGTTTTTACGCACAGTTCAGTTGCAGTGACCTTTTGTATATAACCCAAGCAAGAATATCATAGACAAGATATTCAACTTTTATTTAGGAACCCAGACATGGTCATGTTTAAAGGCCGGACGGTGGTGGTGCATGCCTTTAATCCCAGCACTTGGGTGGCAGAGGCAGGCAGATTTCTGAGTTCGAGGCCGGCCTGCTCTACAGAGTGAGTTCCAGGACAGCTCGGTCTATAAAGAGAAAATCTTTCTCAAAAAAAACAAAAAAAAAAAAAAAAAAAAAAAAAAAAAGAACAAAACAAAAACAAACAAACAAAAAAACCCAAAACATTTATTTTTTTATTTTTACTGAAATATATTCTTTCTCACATATGTATCCTGACTATAGTTTTCCCTCCCTCTACTCCTCCCAGTTCTTCCCCACATCCCCTCCATCCAGATCCATCCCCCTTTCTGTCTCTCATTAGAAACCAAACAGGCTGCTAAGAGATAATAATAAAATACGATAAACTAAAATATAATAAGATAAAACAAAAACCATCATGTTGGAATTGGACAAGACAAACAAACAGAAGGAAAAGAGCCCAAGACAAGGCACATAAAACAATACCCACTTGCTTTTTGTTTGGTTTTGGTTTTGGTTTTGGTTTTGGCTTTGGCTTTGGCTTTGGCTTTGGCTTTGGCTTTGGCTTTGGCTTTGG